CTATTCTATTCTATTCTATTCTATTCTATTCTATTCTATTCTATTCTTTGTTTTCTTTATTCTTTGGTTTTTATATGGAAGAAAATGAATAGATTTTATATTTTAAAGATAATAGAAGAGCTGATTTAATTAGTATAAGTTTGATTGGGCTGTTTGCTGTTGTGAGAAGCTAATGCTGGCTTTCCGACATGGTAGCTTTACAAGAAACACATTGTTGAGGCTAGCGCTCTTGTGTTGAGTCAAGTCCCATCCCACCCCCGATTTTTGAAAAGTTAATAAATGATTTATGTATGTAAATGTATAGCAGAATTTCTACAGAGGGCTCAACTTCCAAAATAAAAATGGTTATCTTCTATTTTCAAATTTAATTTTTATTAATTCTTTGAGAATTTCATACATGAATAAAATATATTTTGATCATATTCATCCTTCCCTAAACCCATCCCCGTTATTTTGTTTTTCAGAGACACGTAACCGTCAATAATCATGAAGAACCCATATGCACACCTTGCTGAGCCCTTGGACCATGCCCAACCAGGAAAGATATTCTTCAACTTGAATAAATTGGAGGACTCGAGATATGGTGGGTGCATCGCTCTGTGATGTGGTTGCTGTTAGCAACTGGTTTCATGTTGTATACCTGATTATGTAACTGTGTAGCCCTTAGGAGAGAATTGGAAGAGATCAGAGGAGACAGTAGGTGAATGTAGGTTAAATACACAGACATGCGCATACGCCTCCAAATACACATCTTACGGTCTTGTCTAGTTTGTAGTAGTAATTTTCATTTCCTTCTTCCTTCCTTCCTTCCTTCCTTCCTTCCTTCCTTCCTTTCTTTCTTTCTTCCTTTCTTTCTTTCTCTTTTCCTTTCTTAAAGTTTTACTTACTTATTTTATGTATTCAAGTACACTGTAGCTGTCTTCAGACATACCAGAAGGGGGCATCAGATCCCATTACAGATGGTTGTGAGCCACCATGTGGTTGCTGGGAATTGAACTCAGGATCTCTGGAAGAGCAGTCAGTGCTCTTAACCGCTGAGCCATCTCTCCAGCCCCATTTTCATATATTTTAAGATAGAATTTCTATTTTGTAAATAAAATAGTTTTTAAAAATAAGTTATTGTTATATGAAGTGGCCATGCTACATTATGTTTATGGTGTTTAATTATAAATGGGTCATTTTCTCATTTTTTTGAGCGTTAGTTTCTTAGGAAATATGATTCTGTGTATATGTGGAAGTAGATATTGCTTGCTACATATCACACAGTGAGAGTCTGGACTGATCATGAGCTGTGATGACTTAATGGAAACTTTTCTTTCTCTTACGGAATTCAAAATAACCATTTAACATAAATAAATAAAGTAATTTTTTAGACTAGTTTTTGAGTATTTTCAACTACTGAGTGTCTCTTAAGTCTACTCACTGTACATAGTTTTCTCCTTATACACACTTTAAACTTGTCAATCACTTGGCCCTCCTTCCCTGTTGAAAGAATAATCCCATGTCATGTATCAAGTTTATCTGAAGATTGGCTTTCAAGAGAGTTCTGCACGGAAGCTGCGCTGTGGTTTGTGGTTTAATGCTTTCTGCCTTCATCCCCAGGACGCTTACCATTTTCTATCAGAGTTCTCCTGGAGGCAGCCGTTCGGAACTGTGACGAGTTTTTGGTGAAGAAAAATGACATTGAGAATATCCTGAATTGGAATGTCATGCAGCATAAGAACATAGAAGTGCCATTTAAGCCAGCCCGAGTCATACTGCAAGACTTTACGTGAGCCTGCCACCTCTCTCTGCCTCCCTTGTCAGCCTCTCGGGAAAGGTTTTACTGTAACAGAAATGCTTTGTCTCTAAGAAACCAGGACATAAAAGGAAAGCAAGGGGCCCCTGAAAGAAGAGAAGACTGCTGTCTCTAGTAGTCACCCCACCTCACCAGTGACAGGGTTCCATCCTCAGAACTGATCACACTGTGAAAGGTAGAAGACAGCATTCAGGAGGGCTGTGTGGAGTGTCTTATGCAGGCTGCTGTGCTTGGGCACCGTTGTGCCGACCTCAAGGAGAGGCGAGGTGCTTCATGAGGCCTGGCTTGCACTCAGCTTGCAGCCTCCTGCTCCTGCAGGCTGTGCTGCCCGTTACGGCAGAGTTTCTTAAACACAATCTTCCCATTTTGCAGCGACGTTACTCTATTCTTTGTTTTCTTTATTTTTTTATATGGAAGAAAACACTAGATTTTATATTTTAAAGATACTAGAAGAGCTGGTTTAATTAGTATGAGTATGATTGGCAGCCTATTTTTCTAAATTCTGTCTATTCATTTTTTAAAATTGTGTAATCCTTGTATATGGTACATTGTTGCATAAGGGAACTTTTATGTAAGTAGGTAATGTCCATTGAGCATATTGTCCCCAGACCTTCTTCTCCCCCTTTTCTCCGACCCCCTAGGTCCCATTGCTCTGTAACAGCTTCACATCTGCTTTCATGTGACATACATATAGACAACATTATACATCTAAAACTTAGCCACAAATGAGAGACAGCATACATTTGTCTTCCTGACTGGTATAGTTCATTCTATAGATTATCTCCAGTAGCTGCACATGGTTTAATTTTTAAGGTTAAATTTAATTCTTTGGAGCTAATATCATTCATACTATGTGCACCATAATACTGTTTTTATCCACTGCTCTTTCTTAGATACCTAGCTGGTTGCATAACTTAGCTTCTAGGACAGGCTACAGTGAACACCAATGTTCAGTGTCTCTGTGATGTGTTGACTTGGAGACTTTGGGTAAATACTCAGGAGTGGTATGGCTAGATTATTTGAAACATCTAAAAACCATTTATGTTGTTGTTGTTGTTGTTGTTGTTGTTGTTGTTTTTTAAAGAAATCCCTGTACGGACTGCCTTTGTGGATGGACTAATGTACATTTCCTTGCTCTGTGTGTACTGTTTCCTTTGGTCCACATCCTCAGTATGTGTTGCTGGTTTTCTTAATGACTTCCATTTTGACTAGAATAAAACGGAATCCCAACGTCATAAAATTCACTTTTCTTTGGTGGCTAGTGAGGAACTAAACATCTTTATGTGTTTATTGGCCATTTATATTTTATCTTTCAAGAACTGTCTTTTCATTTTATTAGTCTTTTTATTGATTGAGTTGTTTGCTTGCTTAGTTTTTGAGAGCTTTACATATTCTAGATGTTAGTTCTCTGTCCACTGTATCGATAGCAGAGATCATCTCCCATTGTGTTGGCTGCCCCTTCACTTGATAAACTGCTTCCTTTAGTGTGCAGAAGCCTCTGAATCAAGTATGAAGAAACCTCCAGTAGTATTCTTTTTGCTTAGTGTGGTGGTTAGTGTTGTCAGCTTGACAGAGTCACCTGGGAGAAGGGTCTCTGAGAATGTCTGTGATGGATTATCTTGATCGCATTCATTGGTGTAGGGATACCTGTCTTAATTGTGCGTAGGACCATTCCCTAGGCAAGGGATCCCAGACAGTATGAGTGGAGTGCTATGTGAGAGCTGAACATGCGTTCTTAGCTCTCTTCTTGATCAACTGCTTCAAGCTCCTGCTTTGACTTCCCCATGAAGGACTGTACCATGTGCCATGGGTTCCAGTTCAGTAATCCCCTTCTCCTTTAATAAATGGTGTTTGTCGTAATAATTTATCATGGCAATGAGAAAAGAAGCTAAGACACCCTGGGTTGCTTTGGTAGCCTCGGGTCTTTTCTGTGTCTGAGTAGATTTTAATGTTGTATTTTTCTGCATCTGTGAAGAATAGCATTGGACTTTTGATGAGAATTACATTGAACCTGCAGATGATTTGGTAATATAGCTGCTTTCACAACATTGATTCTTCCAGTCCATGAGTATGGAAGTCTGACCATCGTTTAGGGTCATCAGATTGTTTCTTTCGTGTTTTGAAGTTGTCATTGTAAAGACCTCTCATGCCTTTGGTAAGTCTTATTCCACGGTATATATCTACTCCTTTGAGTTTGGTCTAAAGCTGAAGGGGTTCTCTGGGAAGCAGTCACTCAAGTAGAGTTCTTGAGCGTAAACATACTGGTTTCCCACAGTTCCTTGCATTTAAGTTACTATATGGTGGAGTTCTACAGGGAGATCCTACTCATTCATAACCACTTGCCACCTATGTGATTCCTGCCCAAAGGAATGTCAGAATGTCACTTGTCTATGTTACCTGTTGTTGGCTCCTCCAAGGAGATGGTCCCTTGTCAGTTATTAGCACTGGCAAACCTGCAAATTGCAGTCACTGACATTTATGGCTGTTTCATGCTTGCTTCTTTCTTTCCTTAGGGGCGTGCCTGCTGTGGTTGATTTTGCAGCAATGCGCGATGCTGTGAAGAAGTTGGGAGGGAATCCAGAGAAAATAAATCCTGTCTGCCCCGCCGACCTTGTAATCGATCACTCCATCCAGGTTGATTTCAACAGAAGGTGAGGAGACTTAGGAGGAATGCCATGGGTTTCTGCTTTCTGCAAAGTGTTAGAATATATATCTTTTAAAAATATGTGTACATGCTGTGCTGAGGACAGCTTAGCAGGTTGGAGTACTTGCTGCCAAGCCTGAGGCCCTGAGTTGCATCCTTGAGCCCTACATAGGAGAAGAAGAAAACTGTCTCCCACAAGTCATTTTCTAGCCTACATATGAGGGCCATAGCACATGCATGCCTACACAAATCCACATACAAGTAAGTAAATGTAAGAATGGTTTTTAATGTGTGTATATATCCTCTGACATACGTATGAGGGCCCTGGAACATGCATGCCCACACATACACATATAAATACAAATATATGAAGGAATTTTTTAAGGTGCATATGTATTTAAGAATATCTTTAAAAGTGTTGCCAGGAAGTTGACTCACCTGTGAATGATACTGGGAGAAACAGTCTGTGTAAACCCTGTTACTGCTTGTGTTTGCTTTGGATAGGAGTGGTCTGCATCTAGTAGCTTGAATGTAGCTTGAAGTCTGATTCAAAACACACACGTACATTTTCTCATGAGAGATTGTCAGTGCAAGTGCATGTCTGACTTTAGAAGAGTTGGGTTGCTCTGCATCCACTGCAGCTTTATTCCTGCTTTTATCACAAGTAACTGTCCTGTCTCTAGCTACCCGGGTCCTGCAATAGTGCCTACTTATTCTACCCTTCATCTCCCCTGCATGGGATAAATCTTCATCCTCTCCTGACAAAACCCATCCCATCTTTCATAGCCAGCTTAAATTTTCATGTGTCAGAAGTCCTTCATTAGCTAGCCTGTGTCATGTTCATCTTGCTGGACTCTGTCTAGCGTGGACTCATAAATCCATAGGAGTATGGTGTCTTGAGTTGCCTGGTTCACTGGAATAGAGCTATGCATGTAATACACACTTAACATAGCTGAAGTGGTTGACCTTGAAATTATCCCTAAGTTAAAGGAGAAGTAAAGTTAACATGACTGAGGTACCTTGAGATGGGGACAAACTAAATCTCTGAAGCTGATTGGGTATCTCCCTTTCACCTCTACCCTTCACATCCAAAGGTATAGGTAGTAAAAAGTCTTTTCAAAGAAATTGAACATATGACCTTACAACTCTGAACTAGCAACTTAGCAATGACAGCTTCATAAACATTTAAGAAATGAACACATCTTAAGCAAACTATTTGTAGCATTTATAATCCTAACCTGTTTTTCAGGTAACTGAGGTCCTGTGTTTACAGGTCAAATAGTGATGGGCAGTCTCCTGCACTGTTTATGTTAGTGAACTATCTGTCTTCATTCTCATTCTTCAAAAAGCTTTGTTAAAATTGGGGAATGAGTCTTTGGGTAGATGGCATCCAGATAGCGAACAGAACTGTGCGTTTCCAGTACCACAGTTCAATCTGGGAAGTGCACATGGTGTACAGTGGACCCAGAGAACACTGCAAAAAGTTAAACTTGAGAAGAAAAAGCAAGTTGCCTCTGCCCTTTGAATCAAAATGGTGTGGGCAGGCAGGAAAGGGGTAAGAGTAAACACTGTTTTTTGTTCTTTTCTCCAAAAGGCAGAGTTTATACCACCAAGCCATGAAGTTCCTTTGAAAGTTAGACATGAAAATCACCTAGTGCTGTGTAAAAATAGCTCAAGGATCTCAGTGGCAGTCAGCAGTAAGAATTGTTTCTCCAACATGCTTACAGGTTGATTGAACAGTGAGCTGACCCTGGTGATCCTTACAGGTTGGTTGATGGTGAGCTGACCCTGGTGAGAGTGCTTGGGCAGCTCTGCCTCATGTGGCAGTGGCTGGGCTAGCTGGGAATGCTGAGGTGCAGGGCAGCTGTGACAGCTCCATTCCCTTTGCTTCTTTGGCTAAAGAAGAAGGCAGTGAGCTAGGGATGTGGGGGAGAAACACAAAGTGTGTCTTAAAGCTTACCCAGCAGTTACAGATCCATTCTGTTCACAGTGATAATGAACCAGTGATATGGTTCAGTCAAAAATCAGGGTAGACAATACAGTCCAGCGGTGGTAGGTAAGGTTATTGAGCGTTGGTTTGGACATAGGGAAGCAGTCAGCATGAGGAGCCTGGCATCTGATAGAGGCGTGATGAGTGTCTGTAAGTGGACAAGGGACTTCCCACATTCTCTTAAGCAGTAAGACTAGCAGTTAATATTGTCATTATAATTCAAATACATTGGTTACGTACAGTAATTTCAATTATAAGGAAATAATAGTTCTGGATATGTCAAATGTTTGACTAGAAAGACTTTTCTAAATTTAAAATTAATGAAAGAAAATAAAGGAAATGGCTACAGATATTGTGCCTTTAAAAATAATAGGAAATAAATTA